GAACCCTTATGCTGGTATATTAGCACTTTTCTGAAACTTTATTATTATAAAAGAGAACATTTCTTATCTTAAAAACTAAAGGATGACAGAATTAAGATTTAATAAAAATTTAAAAAGTAAAATTTAATAAAATTTTTCAAACCATATTCTAGATTGATTTATTAAATTAAGTAATATAAAAACACTATAAAAAAACTATGTATGTATGTTTGTATACATATATGTATGTTATGTACAGTACAACATAGTGTATAAAGTGTAATAAAAAAGTTTATAATGTTCTCTTAGGTCCAAGTCACTAATTAATCAACACAGAATCTTTGCAATGGTGGGGAGACACTGACAATTTTGTGCTACAGACTGCTTAAAAGTTTTGTATTGGTTCAATCATCAGTATTCAAATAACAATTCATTAACAACTGTATGAATTTTGCAATCTTTGATCTTAAAATGTGTGAAATTAATGAAAAAAAAAAACAAAAAACATGTATTAAATTTGCTGAAAACTTGGAAAAAGCAGTGCATAAACATTTCAAATGTTATAAACAGTGTTTGAGGATGTTTAAAATAGAGAAAGGAAAATAACTAAAATGTGAAATATATGAAAACTTTATCAGTTTTTATCAGTTTTGTGTTGTTTTTTATTATTGTAGTTTCAAATGTTTTTTCACAAAATAATAGTGACTATCTTTATCTTTTGTCAATATTTACATGAGTGGTATAGAACAGTGGTCTGCAACCTTCCTGACCACTAAACTCACAATTTTGAATCCCATGGACCACTATCAAATTTTTTTAATGATACAAAATCTGTAGAATAATGATCATAAAAGTTCAATTTTACTATATTAATATGAAATTCACATGTTTAATTATAACAAATTAATGCAAGTCTAAAGTTCATTGCTGCTTGTTTGAAATAAGTTTATGAATTCTTAGCGCTTTTCCACAAAGGAAAATAACGCACCCACAATATTGTTTATTGTTCATTATTTATTGATAACAATCACTTCATATTTGGTTTTAGATTCAAATAAAAATCCCCAACAAGTGAAAAAAAGCATTTTGCATTTCTTTCATAATACTTTGCATTACCTTCAGTTGATCAATGTCCAAATTTCTCCGCAGACCACCCAAATTTTCTTGTGAACCATTGATAGTCCATGGACCACTGGTTGCCGACTGCTAGTATAGAAGATTTAAAACTGCTAAACAATCGATGATGATCCAAGGCAAGGAAGATCTTCAACAGCCACCACAGACAAAAGAAGACATTGTTGTTGACTAGAAATTAATCATCAAATCACTACATACGAACTAGCTAAGGACTTGAATATCTCTTTGTTCATGCCAACTGTTGCAAACTGGAATACCAGAAAGTAGCAGGAAGTTAAATGCCTCTTCCCATGGAAAAGAGTGATGTGATTCTAACCACCGTTGTGGTTCAAGTCCCTGAACTTTTTGACCACAAATTATATTATTTAATTACCTATGTAGTAAATTTATTTCAGTAATCTATTCAATTATGAATAATATTGCTGAAGAATTAAAAATAATCATTTTTATTAAAATAAAAATAATTTACATTTAGTATTATTTTATATCAATTTATTCCATTTTGGCTCAAATATACTGAATAAAAAATTTGTGAAAATAATAACTGTTCTTTTATCTTTGTCTAATGAATTCAATATATTTAGATAATACTTTTGTTCATTAAAATCACAAACAGACTATCCAAAACAGTATCTTCACTTGTCCTTTTTCACACCAGGAACTCATCTAAAACACACTATGGTTTGACCTTTATTTGAGGCTATGACCTCAGTAAATTATATAAAAGACAAAAATGTACTTTGAATAGTCTACATTTATGATTTTAACAAACTTCCATGTTCTAGATTAGTGGGGCGCAAATCGTGGGGTTGCAAGAAAATTTTTCGGATTTGCCAAATTCAAAATTTATTTGACAATAAAAAATATAAGGCTTTTCTTCAACAAGTTTCAGTTACCAGTATTAGTAAAATAGTGAAATGAAATTATATTATTTATAAAAATAAAAGTATATTTTTTTATGAAAACAATTGTCTAACTATTGATAATACAGACAGAGGATAACTTACAGATTGTCATTTCCAATACAGATCTGAACATAGAAGCAATCATGAGCTCTTTGCAAGCACATACCTCACATTGAATTGCTATGATTTAAAGTTTTTTTAAAAGTATTTTTCATTAAATAAATATTTATACCCATATACATAAATAAAACCATTGTATCATAAAATTATGTGTTTTATTCAAATCTCTAATAAGGCAGAAACATAAGCACAAATCCCAATAAGAATTTCACTTTAACTACATTGACAATTAAAAAAAACATCTATTTATCCTGGGATTGTGACAAAACTTTATACAAAATGGGGGGTCAGAAATAAAAATAGTTTGCACACTACTGCTCTATAGTATTATTTTTTAAATGTAAATTTTTTAAAAATACTTTTGTTGTTTACATTTATAAATTTTTATTATTAAACAATTTAAATTCTAATAAATTTATTAATTTTCTTAAAATAAAACAAGTATAGTTGTCTGCCAAATTAACATATAAACTTAGATTCTGATTTTGACAAGATTTTATTTCTGCTAAATAACATTGGCATCTTGCCAAGACTTTAAGCCATCCTTTTATGAAGGAAAATAAACCAAAAGGTACCGTGGATCAAAAGTAATCATTTATTAGATATTTTGTAAAAGTTTTTTATGACACTTCAAACTTTGTCAAACACACCAAAAGTTATTCTTATCTTTCTGAAGATTCATTGCAACTATTTATTTGAAAGAACTCTATAATCTACATATCACACATAGATTGTAATACAATATACATATTCATATATACTACATATACATGTAGTAAACTAAATTTCTGACCCTCCATCTTTTCAGTGATAATCTGTTTTTGAAAGCAGTTGTGGAAAATTTCTAGCTAGGCTGACCTTTTATAAGCTAACAAAGCACCTTGAGTGTAATGAACTTCTCCCAGCAGTACTCCAGCTTTGCAGTACTTGGTGAAAAAAAATCTGTCTTGGTTCTTGCATCACTCAGAGACAGCATCATCACTATTGAAATGCTGTCCTTTTGGATGTCATTTGAGTGTTGGAAACAAGTGAGTCTGTTAGTACCAAATCCAATGAGTAAGATGTGGTAACAATTCAAAGTCATATTCATGAATTTTCTGCAAAAAGGTGTAGGCAGTGTAACAGGGCACATTTAATACAAGATCACAACTTGTTCCAATTTTTCAGGGCATTTCTTGGCAATTGCATCTCACAAGGGAATTACATATAGAGAGTTGCACTTCAAAATGTTGCCAACTTTATTCTGCTTTGACAACTCCTTAACAGGTATGCTCACTATTTTTCAACCAACTCTTGTATTGTAAAATAAATTAATTCATTTAAGAAGGAACATGTATAAATTGTGTCATATTTTTTTTGTTAATACATAAATTTTCCAATTATAACAACAATCAAATTAAAAATGTGATTTTTAATAATGTGGCAACAAATAATGCTGACGGCTTTACAAAAAGTTCAACATTATGCTCACAAATGCTACAATCAAATGATTATACTTTCACAACTGCAAAAGAAAATACACTTACTTGTGAATATTTGGGCTTTAATACATCTCTTTTGAACCTGGATAAATGTAAAAGTGAATACCTGAATATTGAAAACACTAACTTTACACACTGTTTCAGAATAATGATCTAATGTTTTTATTTTACATTTTTGTCAAGCTTTGCAATCATTCAGTAATGTAATAAAATATGTTTTAAAGGACTATCTCCCATAGAATTAGCTTAAACCAATTGTTCTTTTCAGTTTTTTATCCAGTTTGTATAGGACCTATAATTCTAGCAGGATATGGTCAAGAAAATGTTAGTGATTTTTTTTTTAGATTACATATAAATACTTATTAATTAAATAGTAAAATTCATATATTTTTGTATGCTATAAATGAGGTTACAATTCCACTTTTAATTTTTGTAAAATAATTAAAAATCAATCCTTTCCATGTATATATATATATAGACATTTATTATGCTTTTCTTTTTATTTGGCTCTTGGCTCTCTTTCCTGTGGGCACTAAGAGGCATCTGGCATTCTCATTGTAAGTTTGGCAAGGCCCATAATGATAACAGCTGAGTGTGATATATACAGTACAGCCCAACATATCCAGGATTTATTGCTCATGAATAATTCCTAAATGCTTGCCAGGATTTGATCCCAGTCCCCAGAATGGTAGGCTAATTGTCTTAATCATCTCAGCCATCTGGCTGTCATTATTATGTTCCAGAACTGAATTAAAATACCTCTATGATAATGAATTTTACAGTTTTTAAATCCAATATTTTAATTAGATTTATAAACAATGATTATATAGTGAAAAATATTTTTTTTTTTTTTCAAAATTTTTCTATGTTGTGATACATAAATAAAACATATTACCTAAAATTTTTATATAACATATGGTTTGGAAGAATTTATTTAAATTAAGTTGTTATAAATACCTCTAAAGACTCTTAATAAGAAATTATAGTCTTGATGATTTTAATTACTGTAATTATTAAGCATATTAATAATACAAATAATATGCTTAAAGTCAATTCAAATTTGAGTTTCATTTCCATATACTGTATAGAAGGAGATTGAGATAAAGTTTATGGTTAAATAAAATAATTTACATATAGAATAAAAGAAAAATTTTAACTTAGGCATTTTTTGAGTAATGCAACGAGACTTAATCATGACGAATCGTAAATAAATTTAACTTGCTTAAAATTCAAAAACTTGAAAATGATCCAAAGGTGAATGAATGATCAAATTGCCATTTCATAACATATTATAATGAATGAATGCTTATGGAAAAAGCATTAAAATAAAGTTATTTTTATCAGTAAACTTTTACCATTATTTTCACTATATACTAACCTTATTACAGCAAAATAGAGATTTTATATTGACAGACCAATGACAGAATAAACATGCCAGAATCTGCAGGAAACCGATGAATGAGAAAACAATCAGTCCAGCTTCGTAATACTCTTGCACACCGTAAATAGATACCCATAAATATAACCAAGAGAAATAGAGAAGAATAAAAGGTCCAATATAACCGTGTAATAAGACATTTCTTGGTTTATACAAAGTCACACTCGCAATCAGGTCGTCCATCTTGAAACATTATAGGACCGCATCTAACACGTCGATTAATTTCATTTGCTTTTTAATATCTTCGAAAACGTTAATAATTTAAGCTGAAATGTTAATACGGAAACAAAGAGCTAAATTTCAAGTGTAATTTTATCTATTTCTTAATAAAATACTGAAAACTTTTAAAAATGAAAAGGAAAAATAATTTAAAAATCACGTTGCCAACTTTTTATGGTTTTATTTATTATTTTTTTTTATTTTGAAATAAAAAGATTTTTTAAATTTTGTTTAAAAGCATTTTAATACCATACTCAATCAAATATTAAATTAATAATAATTTAAATTACATTAATTAAATATTGAATAAATATATGAAAATTCCATTAAACATTGTGATGCTTAAACATCTTACTTGTTTTTTCATTTTCTACTCTGTCTTCTGGGACTGAGAGGGCATTTTTCCGTATTCATAGTAGATTAAGTCAGCCCACAATAAGCATTTAAGTAATAAAAGACATGGATAGATATGTCTGGAACAGACTGTCCATGAAAAATTATTGAAATTCTGTGTCTTCGCGGTTTTGTTCCAAGTTCCTTCCCACCGGTAGAATAATATCTTAACCGCTTCTGCTAATCGGCAGGCAACCTTTACTAATTTTAATTTAGTGACATAAATCATCAATTACTTTGTTCTTGGATCGTCTCTCTATGTCGGGAAATGCAAGGATCGTGTCTTCCATTTTTTGTTTAACTCTTTACGTCCTACGGGCACTAAGAGAATCTCTTTTAGCAAGCCTATTATGCGTTCGGCCAAGCCACAATGTGATGCCGGGTAGTAAGGGACAGGGCCCGACAAAAATTTGATTCAGGATCCCTCAGAGCAATAGACTACCACTTTAATTGCTCGGCCATCCGGCCGGCCATGTTTTCCATTGTCGGCAGTTACAAGAATCGCTTCTGTAGCTGGCAGGTACAAGGATAATCTTTTTTTGTGGCGGAAAGTGAAAGTTGACTTGTCCACGTCCGTCAGGTACAAGAATCGCCTAACAAGAGCAGGGTTCGCTTCTTTCTTTTCGGCTCCGGCTCAATTCTATCGCGATATGACAAAGTCGTGCGATGTCCTAGTAACATATGTCCTGATCCATGATCGGTGTATAAATAATCGAATCATTAATTCGTTTCAAGCGTGTTTTTATCGGAAGCGGTCACGCCTCTCTCACGACATAGGCACGATACTGACACCAACTGACAGTTGCATTGCACGAAATCGTGCAATGCAAATGTCAGCTGGCGGGCGTCANTATTTTATCACTGTAATATATAAAAATATAATTTGTTGTGTTTTGAAACATTACTAAACTTACTTTTGAATGATGAAGTTTAACCAATTCAGCAGATCCATTATTTGGAGTTGGTTTCACTTTGACTAATACAGCTTTCTTTGGATCAACAACCTAAATTTTTAATAAGGAATAAAATTTGTTTTTATTAATATTACAATAAAAGCAATTTAATAAATGTATCTCATTTACATGAAACAAATCAGAATGAATAAATAAAACTGAATTTTTAAAATATCAATCATGAATTTTAGAAGAACAATAAGTGAAACCTCTCTTAATAGAGACTTCTTTATAAATAAGCAATTTTCATGATCCAGTATAAAAAAAAAATATATAACTTCATTACAATTAACCTCTCTTAAATGTATACTCTCTTAACAGATAAAAATTAAGACTACTGTCTATCGACATTAATAAACTTTATTAATTAAAACACACACAATCACACATACAAGTAAGTACTTTCAACCTTTATAGAATGTCATCTTCAGATGAAAAAAAACAAACTTTACAACGTTTATATAAAATCTTAAATTAATGTAACAATCAAACAAAACAAAATTATTCTCAGCCAGGAATTAATTTTTTAAATTATTAAATAGCAAAGCCCATATTTTAGGAGCTCTAGGGTGGGTCTATTACAAGACTATTTTCTTAATAAATGCTTCCCAGATAAATAACTAGTTACAGTCCACACACCGTACAATGAAGGAAGACTCATTTCATAGGGGCACAAAGCTAAGATCAAGTACCCTCCTAGATAGTTCTACTGAAAGTCTATTATTACAAATGTCATCTTGGTACTCTACTGTTGGCTTTGTAATTTTCTTGTTGTGTCCCTGATATAAATCATCATTGCACCACTGTTTTGATCTTGTAAGGAAACTAAGTAAATGCCTGATTTTTCTGAAGTGGATAAACAATCTCTTTCAATATATAGTATTCTTTGTAAGGACAACTGTGGTTTTATTGGAAGGTTAAAACATAATTTCCAAAACTTTTTGGTGGATACTCTCTGTTATTGATAGACATGTGAAATGTGATAAGGTTGATATCTCAATCTCTCTTAATAAATATAATACTTTATTACTGAGTCAATCTCCTTGTTTGGAGTTTATGGTTACAATCAACTCAAATCAATTCTAAAATCTAAAAATAAAAAGTTGCTGTTTGCTGTGAAACAGAACACAATTTCCAAGTTGAAAAAGAATGTGTGTGTGTGAATAAGGCTGTATGTAAATCACTGACATTTAAAGAGAATGAAAATTATTGAATATCAAACATTAGAAGTACAAAATGAGAAAATGAAAAGAAATGTTCAACACTGTGAAAATGCAAGCTGCAGAAACAAGTAGAAGGCTGAGGTTTCTCAACTACTCAACCATTGATCCTGTAATGACAACAAGCAGCAAATCCAATAGATGCAAGGAAGAAGTACAACTCCTAACTTGCACATATTTAATTTGCTGCTTGTTTGCTGTACCTATTGGATTTTTAAAAGTTTTTTAAAACTTTTAACATTAGTATTATAGTATTTTTAATATTAATCCAGTTTCAAAAAAGTTTAATAATAATTGTATAAAAAATTATATAAATTATATGAATAACAGTATATTCATTTAGAGATTCACCTCATATAATGTAAACCTCATTTAATCAGAGTTATACTATAATTAAAAATATAAAAGAAACTTTATTAGATTAAATATAAAAAGTAAAAAAATAAACAAAAATTACAGTGAAATAATTATACAGTATTTAAAGATTATAAACTGCATTGTTTCAAGTTTCTATCACAACTATTTAATACATTTCAGTATATTGTAAATGCTAATAAATTTTTTTTTCATTTAAAATGTGATTTCAAACATTCTAGATACAAATATATTTCAATCCAACTTATAATCAATTTAGATTTTACTAATTTTATTAGAATATATATATTTAACAAAAAACCATTAATGGCTTAAAAGTTAAACATTATTGTTTATTTTGCATTAATTGATATAAGAGTCATACTTAGACATTTGTGCAAAGCATAATATAAATATAGTAGTTAAGACAAATATCATTAATAATGAAAAAATTACATTTACAAAAATATGTACAATATTTCTGTTCAATTGAGTAAAAATGAAAAATTACACATAAAAATGGCATTTAGTCATATTTTGATTTGTTCCTTTGCTCTGTATGGAACTCAAATGTAATGTTTAAATGAGCTTTATAAATATTTTGTTTGCAATTAATTTTGCCATTTATATTCTTCTTTATGTTTTATTTCTAGTAATTAATTAATATTACATCTTAATGATACAAGTTATAAATGAATTAGATATATCAACATATACCTAGATTTAAATGTAAATGAACAATGCTGTTTAATGAAATTTCTTAGTTTTAATATTATGAAAAAGATCATTGTTATAGAAAATGTGTATTTGGTCTACCAGTTGATTCAAGGCTAAAAAAAAAAGTAAATATTGAATATAAAATGTAAATTTGTGTCATGATTAATTGGATAGTCAGTCAATTAATGATAAAATAATCCTATCTCAGACACACACACTCTTTATAGATACATTCAATTCCTTACATTATACATTTTCTTTTTCCAATCAATCAATAGAACAAATATACAAGAGCAGAGTTCCAATCAAATATACATTTTCTTGTTCCAACTTGTTTTTAAAATATTAAAACTAAAAAATCTCAAAGGAAATTTTTTAAATCCATCTTGATCTAGCTATTCTTATAGATCATATATCAGAAAGACAATGTTGTGAACATTTTAGAATGTGATTCTGACCAATTTTCAAGTTGAAAAAGAATCTGAAACTAGTTCATGTATGTATAACAATTTTTTATTTACTTTGCATTATACATTAAATAATAAAAATTAATTATAATATGAAATCATACAGGAAGGATTATCATGATTAATGTTGTAATCAGTATATCTTTATCGATAAAAAATAATAATAATAATTTTTTTAATATCTATACATTAATACATGTAAATATAAACATATTTTTTTAATATAATCTAGCTTGATACTCACACCAACTAATGAATAGCAGGAAGAAAAGTTCATTGAGTATGGCATTATTAATAGTTTTTTCTCTTGCTAGCACTTTCAACAAATTTATTTTCATTGTTGTCAGGCAAATAAAAACTCCATTGCCAAATTTGTGCAGACTCATCAGCAACAATCGGGACAAATTTGCCACCTTTGAGAAATCACCTTTGAGAAATTTGCCACCTTTGAGAAATCTGGATTCTCCAATGTGGTACCATTGGAGAATCCAGCAATGGGGATGAATATGAGATATAGTACACTGGTGCCACAGCAAGAATGCTTGCTACCTGCGTAGCTAAGCACCATGATAATGTGGTGAAAGGAAAGCGCACCACAGAGCTTGCAAAAAAGGTGCTCAAACAAAATTACAACACGTTATGGGCCCAAACAACAATACTCAAAGCCTGCAGTGATCGAAAACTCTTCTTTATAAGGGAATTCTACTCAAAAAATTCTCAGAAACATGCAACACTCCAACTCTTGATTTGCCCANATTTTACTTAATTATAAATAAGAATGGAGAACTATATACAAAAATTAGAATAATTTTCTGCACAATATCCGAGGGTTATCTGTGTTTGGAAATAATTTTGGAAGCAGAAGCATGTTAAACGCCGCTATGGGATGTATGCAGGAAATCACGATAGTTCTTTCTGTTCGAGTTATCTGAAAACCTTTAATTTACAGAAAATGATTTATCATTAGAATGCAAAATTACTGTCATAAAGATTACTATTATATTTCATGAAAAATTACTATTATTAGATATTTATTTATTTATTAAAAACCTGAATCTCAAA